AATTCCCGACCAAGTGCACAATTTGATTCTTTTTGGAACCAAAAGAAGGGCAAGGAGGAAACGGTTGCCCGTGTACTCGACTATACTGAGACTTGTTTTTGTTTGTTTGTTAATTTTTTGTTTTAGTAAGAGTACTACGGCGCTGGCAACTGCATAAGTTCATATGGGCGCATTTGATCAAACATTTGTTTGTTTACTTGTTTGTTTTTGTTTTCTTGTTTTTTGTGGGGGGGGGGGGGGGGTTGCCCTTCGTTTGTGCTTCCATGGTGCGTACCTGAGCAGCAAAGTTTTTACGGGAGATCAAACAGTGGTGGCCGAGACAGTGCCCAGTCTAGGATATTAGAATTGAAGACTATGATGTAGATACACTTATTTGAGTGCTTCACCTCCCACAGGTTAAAGGTCACTACCTTTTGAAACAGATCTAACAACTCTCTCCCCCGACAAAGAAGGATAAAGATTCCAAGAGCACACAAGAAAACAAAGATTAAAAACAAACAAACAAAAAGAAAAGCACCAGTGTTTGTGGTATAGCGGTTAGTTCGACTACTCGGTGGAGACAATTTATATCGAGTACATATATTTCGGTCTTTCTGCTGGGCAGTTGTACCCCGTTTGGCCCGGGTTGGCCTTTACAGGCAGGGTCGAGAGCCTGCCTCCTAAATGATCTAAATTGTATTGATGGAAAATTAAAGAACCTACATTTAAAATAGAAGAGAAAAATAAACCACCCTCGAGTTTTGTACTCCTGCATGGGTCTATGTTGAAATGAGTACACTTTTCATTGTTGCATGCGAAAGACTCGGGTTTGATTCAATTCGATGGGTGCGTAAAAACACCTACATAAAAAATAAACAGAAATAAAAAACTGTGGGAACAAAAGGAGAGGCGGGGGTTGGTGAGAAGTGCAGCTAGCTACACACAGGGCTTGAGACGGCCTATAAACGCCCCGGATCGTCCCTCGCCCAAATTGTGTAATTGCCGTCTGGGATTAAGGTAGCGTTAGCCGAGCTGTGCACCTGCTCTCAATAAAGCCAGGTTGTGTGCCACAAAAATGTCAGAGCCCAAAAGATTGCGAAGGAGATATTGTAGGATAATGATATAATAGTACCATCTTGGAACTAAAACAGTTTCTTATCGGATATGGATCCTAAGTACAACGTTTCTTTTTTTTTTTTTAAAGAAAATAAAAAAAGAAAAGGGAAAAAAATCTCTAAGCATTTGGCAGTGGTTATGGTGTCTGCCCTCACATGTGTATTATGTCTGTGCACAAAGGAATTTAACCTTCATACTGGCACAGTTTTTATGATTCTGTTTATTGTATGCTATGTATGTAATCATCAAAACCTATCCCCTTAAGTTATATATCTTTATTTTATGATCGTCTTGTCGGAGCGCCAAACATGGATTTTCCCGTCCCAATAGACGGGCAGACATTGGTCTTGTATAAATGTCCTTAGGGTAAGAAGGGGAAATTCCACACTATACTTTTTTCAGTTAGGTTGTGAGACAAGTTTTATAGAGGCTACTTTTATGTAAAACGAGGACAAGCTTCATACCCTACAACAGTTTCACTTTGGATCTGATAAGTTAAGAAATAAACAAACAAAAAACCACAAAACAACAAACAAACAACGAAACAAAAACAAACAAACAAAAAAGGTGAATTTCATGATATCACCATTTTTTCCACCGTTATTGTTTTTTACTTTTCCTCATCTTTACACAGTTTTCCCCTTCTTTTTAAAAAAGACATTCCATAGAAACAACCCAGAAATAATCAGAGTATAATAATTGAAGCCCCCCCCCGGGGGCAGTGCCACTGACTGAAGTGTTTTTAGGCCATTCCCAAAGGGGGATATTATTTGAATTAACGTGTTCGTATGCACAATAGAATTGTAAATGGGCTTACTTATAAATGGCATGCTCATACTGTGCCGAAACAACATAGTGGGTACTGCTAATTTTCCTTTCCTCATCCTTACTGTCGTCATTTTCCTGATTCCCCGTTTGGACTTTTCTGTTGACATCCACCCCTCGGCGCTCATATGGCCTTATGCAGTTGCGAGCGCCGTAAAACGTTACTAAAACAATAATAATTGAATAGCCATCACTTAATCTGAATTTATTTGGCGAAGCCAGGTTAAGTCAGATTTGTTTTTTAATGCCCACATGCACATACGGTTCATTTTTAAAGAAGTTATAAACATGTTACTCAATTTTTAAAAAGATTTTTAGAAACTCAATATTTGTCGACAAACAAGTAAGTTGATTTTTTTCTTCATATGCACAAATATGACACCCCTTTTGTTAACGTTTATTTCTGTTAAATTTCGCTGAAATTTTTGAAAAGATGAGGACTGAGTTATTGCTCTTTAAATGGGTCCTCTGTTCGTTAAAAAAACAACAAAAAAACCCTGCAGTATCTCCAAGCCCTCGAGGAGTACTCGTCCACGCCGTGACGCGCCCAATGTTTACTGTTCCCGTGTAAACACTCCAG